CTATCTATCTATCTATCTATCCATCTATCATTCTACCTACCCACCCATCCATCCATCTATCTATCTATCTATCCATCTACCCATCCATCCATCCATCCAGGAAGTGATGACACGTCGCTCTACCGCTCTATCGATGGAAAGATTTCCTGAGGACACTTCCTGTTCTAAAGGTGCAGTGTCGCCATTAACACATTATTCCTCTAAGACACTTACACCTCTCACAGCGGGACGATTAAGGTTAGAGTTTTGCGTCGGGAAAGCCCAACAGCTCCTTCCACTGTAATCCGATTGGGGGTTAAATGTGCTTCCCTAACATAGTGAGTGTGGGAGGAGTGCGTCTCACAGAAATCTGGGGATAAGAGCCTCATCCTGTTAGCTCAAGGTGTGGCACTTAGCCAGGTGTGTCTTTAAATAACTCCAGGGTCGCTTCGTATCCTCACGGCTAGGACACACAGCGTCGTTAGGAATCCACTCATGATCTGATTAATGCATTCAGTGGTTTCTAAAAGCACAACGGTGGATATCTGTCAGAAATCAGCAGCGTCAGAGGCTCACATTTGACTTTAATGAGCCGTACAGTTTGGATTCAATCCCTTTCACTGCGGTGGACTTTAATTGAATGTGACTGATACTGTAAAACACACACAAGTGATTTGTCAGACTGTGTGTGTGTGTGTGCGTGTGTGTGTGTGTGTGTGTGTGTGTGTGTGTGTGTGTGTGTGTGTGTGTGTGTGTGTGTGTGTGTGTGTGTGTGTGCGTGTGTGTGTGTGTGTGTGTGTGTGTGTGTGTGTGTGTATGTCGAATTAATCTCACACTTGTTTTGCTTTGATTTGCACAAACATCAGCCGATATTCAAGGTGTTTTTGCATAACGAGAAAAGATACCAAGCAAATGTTGATTTAAGCTGGTTGAAGATAAGCTATACGATATTGAATTGTGTATTTTAGTAAGAGAGATATTATAAATAGCGTGATTTAATGTGCAATTGACAAAGTTGCAGCCCTAAACAGAGCACACACTGATGATACACGTCATACATTGAATTATAAGCAATAAAATGCAGCATTTCTCCTTCAGTGCTTCCAGGGTGTTTACTTGGTGATGAATAGACAGTAGCTTATAGTGGCTACATGTAGGAAACTTAAGACAAATATGGCTCTACTGTATAATGAGCTCTACATAACGTATAGCTTAAATAATAATGAGCACTTGATGTCGCTTGCAGTGAATGCAAAGTCAGCGAGTGGATAATGACTTCCACATATTGTCAATTAGCCAAAAATGATTCCTTATTGTTCTCTACATTTAGATTAAACTTTTGTACGACTGATTAATGCCACGTAACAATCGCTGGGATTAGCATATAGTGACGAACATGATAAAAGTATAAAAGTTGACATTCAGAGGAGAGGTTTCACTCACAGCTGCCGAACTTTAGCGGGCAGGCGTGAGCGTCCATGGGGAAATCCTCCAGCTGCATGGGGCACTCTGCAGAAATGGTCAGTCTATAGAGAAACACAGAGAATAAACCTGTTATCCTACAACATCCGTCACTTTGGGATATGTCTCTCCTGCAGTGTGCAATTACAGGAAGCACTATAATTGCTGAATCACTCAAATTAGAGGGTAGAAAAACAATTAGACGGAAGGTGGCAGTTTTACAGATTTGCAATTAAATAAAAAAAGGAAAAATACAGATTTTTCAAAGCAGTGAAATGTACACTACTGTTTGACACTTGCAAGTGCAGCATTTCCCTCTCTCTACAACTCTGGTATTACAGTGGCAATACTACCACCTGGTGGTCACTGAGTTTCTGTGTTATTTGTCTGCATAAAAGAAAAGGAAACACTTCTAAAGAACCAGTCATTTTTGATTTCAGTCAGATGTGAATCCAACCTCTTTCTCCAAATGGACACAATGGAACTATCTAAGGACTTGAGGTAGAATTGAACACGTCAATTGTTCCTCAAATCAAATTATTTGAGCTTCCTCTCTCTCAGTGTCCTGAAAGACCTGCATGATTAAGTGAATAAAGCTCACAAACCAAGCATAAACACATCATAATTCTTCTCTTTTTTGTAACTATCTGCCCTAGATTGAATGGAGTCCCTCTGGGTATTATTCTCGCTCATTGCTTGATGATAAACAGTGATATGATGATGTGGACTCCCTGAACTTAATGGGCTGGATAGAGGAGAATCAGAGCACATAAACACATGTTTACTGCACATCTTCTCCCACAGTACATGATGTATTTCCCTTCAGTTATCTCTAGTGTAATCTTGGTGGAACTGTGTCACCAAGACGTGGCGAAATCCTCCTGGGTCGTCCTTTTTTTATGCTCCAAAAACACTTCATGCATGTATCTTCTGCAGGAGGTTCCTCCAATTATACGGGTAAAGCGAGCAGAGCGTTGCAAAGTGGGGTAAGGGGCCATCGCTGGTCCCTACAGAGCTGACTGGGGACTCAGCTTGCTTTCCACATCACTGCAGGATTATCCAATTGCATTATTGTGTCTGAAGGATTGTGTACGGAGAGAGAGTCTTTGGGATACATGAGAACATGACTGTTGGCTATCATACCATGTCCTAATTATGCATGTGGCCTAGCCCCGTTAGCAGGGATGCCTGTTTTGATAAATACTTTTGATTTGGGCTGTGATTAGATCAGTATCTTTTAAAAGGATAGTGTAGATTTGTGTGGTGCTCTTCTCTACGCTGATTGGCAGGTTCGTTTTTGGATGCTGTGTGACTTTGATAGGGCTTTTGTCAATGGAGTCCCATGCTTCCTTTCAGCCAGTATGGACTCAGTAAAAAGTACACAAACACACCTGTGGGAAATCTAGGGTTTACAATACGCCTGATCCTGCAGAAAAGTGGAGAACTTTGACGACGGGACAAAAGCAGAAAGGGCTGAGTTGAGCCATCTGTCTTTGGACACCAACAAGCACATTTTTAACAACTTGTATCACATACAGTCGGTCTCATGGGAATCATACACAGTCAGTATGGTAGCCCGTTTTAATGATTACAGAGAAGGCCAGCAGTCTAAAGGCAGCACTAGGAGCATGAATGAACATATCTGTTCCTAATGATAATGGTGTGTAATGCACTCACTCTGTGGTAGTGTGGAGATTTCCAGCAGCTGATTAAGCCGTACATGTTGCAGCCGGCTGTAATGGACCGCCATCAGGCTCCATGTGCATTAAGCTCGAGGAGCGTTGTGAAAAGGGGCATTTTATGAATTATTCACGGAGACAAATGCATACAAATGTGCTCCATAAAGCCAAGCGCTCATCCTCAGAGTAATGCTTTTCAAATGACATGAGCTCTCATTCACACCCGCATGTGGAAGTGGTGCGTGTGTGTGCGTGCGTGCGTGTGTGTGTGTAATGTCTGTAATGTGACATGACAGTGTGTCTGTTCCTATGCGTACGAGTGTGAATGTTTTAAGAGCCGTTTCCATGATGGATGGGTGGACAAAGTGTCTGTGTGAATCTTACAGGAACGTACACATGTATTTACTCCATTTACTGCATGCTGCACCTGCTTACAGCACCCAAAGGTGTTTCTGTTTGTTGTGGGTGCACTGTTAATACTATATATTATTTGTTTAACACAATTAATCATCTTTATAGGCTCAACAGATATTAATAATCATCAAGCAGCTTTTTTAAATTCAATAATTAGTTGATATATAAGACAGGTGTGTCATCTTCACATCATTCTTCTTCAAGAATGTATTTGTTTTTATTGATTTGTTCTCTAGTTTTTTTATGTTTACAGTGTCTGCTTTCTATTATCTGGATTTAATGCAGTCTTACTGTATTTGTATGTAGTTTTATATAAGATTTTTGCTTGAAATGATCCTTTATTCCCTTATTTTCTTGATAACAAACTGAAAAACTGAATAACAGTCAATGCACACAGGCGTGTAAAACACATTAACAAACCCATCGTTGTGTTGGCTGTAACCTCCAAGTGCCCAGATGGCCTGTGTGTGTGTGTGTGTGTGTGTGTGTGTGTGTGTGTGTGTGTGTGTGTGTGTGTGTGTGTGTGTGTGTGTGTGTGTGTGTGTGTGTGTGTGTGTGTGTGTGTGTGTGTAGGAAATAAAACCAGTGCTGCCTGTGGTTAAGCTCTGCTGATAATGACGGGCACAGCACTGTAACAATTAGACGATTAAAGGCAACCCACTGCTGCCTCGTTTCGGCTGTGGCAGGGAACGTGATGCCATTTTTAGATTATCAAAGCCCTTTCTCTCCTGCACACATTTCTGCATCCTGACATAAATACATGTATGGAAGTGCACACACACACACACAATCCTTCACTTGTTAAGCCTCGAGGTCAAAGTTGAGAGCCACCATTACTGATTAAGACGCGCTTCACACTGCGTTGGATGCATGTGACAAAGAGGTGAGTGTAAGTGCACTCTTCTTCAGATATGTATATGTGTCAGGGCGGTTGCATATGGATAATCTGTCCTCCATGCAGCATTATTCTCCCGGTGGGTGTTACTGGTATCAGATAGAGTGCTCTCATCCGTGATACAGTCACTCTTAAGTCCTACAGTATCTCCAGAGGATAAGCACAGAATTATTCTAATTCTCTGGTGAAAGGGTCACGGCGAGTCCTTGTGGTCACACCGCTGTTCTGCTAAACAAAAACAACCTTTTTTATGTCAGAAAGCATGGATCGCAGCTCAATTTTACATAATTTGTTCCTTTCCTGTCAGCTTTTTAAGTTTAAATACTGGTGGTTTAATTTCGAGTGCTCACCATCTGCTTGTTTCTTTTTTTATTTGCCTCTACACTACTGCCAAAAACGATAGTTCACTCCATGATTGCCAAAACCATAGTTCACAATGAGGCTGCGTTTCATAATTGATGACCTCCCTCTGCCGTCTCATTTAAAGAGACACTAATATGCGTCATTAAGTATGTCTCAATGCGATTTAAAAAGCAAAAAATAGAACAAATTTAAGGAAAGACTTGAAATATTTGCCCTTATTTTAAATACTGACTTTTCCAGGACAAATGCCTGTGATTGGCCACTGGGTGACACTGTTCTCCCACAGTCTGAGTGCCACACTGAAGGCTTTTAGCACTGGATTCCTCTCTTAATTCAAACCTGAAATGTGAATTATGTTGGCCTTGCTAGCTTATTTTTTCATCTTCAAAGCACTCTTAAAAAATTAAAAGCTGCATGAGCTCATAAAAGCCAGGTTTCCTTCATACATAGACACTGCACCTGGAAAATCAACACTGTGCAGACTAGTGCACTTCTCTTCTGCTTAGCAACATATATGAAATTAATCAATCTTGGACAGCAAAGAGGTTTATAGTGATTCATAGCGGTTGTAAAAGAGTATGAAGGAGATGTACCTCATGGTGTAAAGCAAAGTGCCGTCATCCTGGAGCCTCAGCAGCTTGTTGGGCGTGGTCATGTTGTGAGCGATAGATTTCTTTCCATTAAGGAAGAAGGTGTCGGGGGTCCAGATGTTGCTGGCGAGCAGGTTGTTCAACGGCAGCATCTCCATGGGCCCTTTGAAGCACAGACGCTCGTCCTTCCAGCTCTGACGGAAGAACACGTCGACGGTGTACTCCTGAGACCAGAGAAACAGGACGATTTCCACCAGAAATATGTAGTACGTGATGTCAGTGAAGTGCACACTGCTCTCATGTTTACCAATCTGCCTGCCCTCTGATCATTTGTATCTCAAAACATGCTGAAGGCAGAAAGTTCTAGAGTCTATTTCACTCAGCTCATTTCGTCTGGTGGTGTATTTACCCAAAACAAGAATTTAAAGTTATGTAGAGCCTCTGCTGCAGCATCATTTTCTTCCCTAATGGAGCTTTTTGGTGTCTCATTTCAGAGCTACAAATAAGTACATTAACACAGAAGACGCTAATTTAACTTGCTACTTAGCAGCCAATTGTCAATCAGCGCAGAATGGTCCAACATTGTGCAGCAACTCCTGTTTTATGCCACTACGATTTTGCAGATCAAGCACTGTGGAGATCCAGCATGAATGTGCACATGTGTGAAATATCGACCCGTTTCAAGCTAGGACAACAACGACAAATGAACAGGAAACGAACGCTCCATCCTGCAGAATAATAGCGCTGTTAGTGGCGCTGACATATAAGCTTTTATGGACCGCAAAAACTATTCAAGTCTCTCGCAAGCATTTCGTTAATCATTCATGCATTGCTGTCAATACCTTTTTCAAGTCAATTATGGGAAAGTGGCAACTGCTGTGTCAAAGTGAGCCAGGGATATGGCCGGGTGTAATAGGAGATTTAATGAAAAAGGAGATTTAATGCCAGCCAAGTGGAACCGTATAGTTCATAAGAGAATGGATTAATAAAGGGATGAACAAGTGGGAATGGGCCAGCCACGTTGCATTCAATCTTAAATGTCATCCACGTTCAGTCTGCCTCATTTACATGAAGCTAAAACAAATCCAATCTTCAAAGAGACAACCAGGACCGGAGCGTTCATCCCGGGAAACAGCGTGAGCAGTGGGGCCCGTCTCATCAAATGTAAATATATGTTTCCATCTAAAAATACCTACAGTAGCCTGGGTGGGCGTTGGAGACGTTTATGTGTGTGTGTGTGTGTGTGTGTGTGTGTGTGTGTGTGTGTGTGTGTGTGTGTGTGTGTGTGTGTGTGTGTGTGAGAGTGTGTGTGTGTGTGTGTGTGTGTGTGTGTGTGTGTGTGTGTGTGTGTGTGTGTGTGTGTGTGTGAGAGTGTGTGTGTTTACCCAGCGAAGCCAATCTCTCTCTTTTGTATTTACTGTGTTTGCTGCAGATGAACTCACCATCTCTGTGTCAGACACCGGGCCGAAGCTGGTGACAAATATATTCGTCTTGATCTCGGTGACGTTTTCTGTTAAGAGAGAGAATGTGAGAATGTTGGGAGGTCATTAAAAAGATAGAGAAAAAACATTAATGAATAGTTTTTTTAATTAAGTAATACAGGACAGATATTGGAGTTGATAAGCCATCTGTAAGTCAATTTATTCCCCTGATATTTAGGAGTTCTCCCCTGACAAGAGCCGCATCAAATCTAACAGTGCAGAGGATTACATTACATTACATTACATGTCACTTGTTAGACGCTTTTATCCAAAGCGACTTACATACATTGAGTACTGTGGACAATCCCCACAGGAGCCATTTGGGGTGAAGTGTCTTGCCCAGGGACACAACGACATGCTGACTGCAGTGGGACTCAAACTTGCTATCCCCTGATTCGAAGTCCATCACACTACCCACTGAGCCACAGCCACAGAGGATGCAACTAAGGATTAGTTTCATCATTGATTAGTCTATAAGATGTAAGAAAATAGTGAATAAAAGGGTCCTCAAGTGTCTTTCTGTGTGACTAAACCTCCACAAAAACAAGATATTCACTTGGTTTCTCTCTCAGGGCTAGTTTCAGACTCTTTTACACAAAGACAATTTTAACTAATTAGAGGGAAACTTGGTCAAATGAAAGGTAGATAGAACGATGTAATCAATGTTCCCAATTAAAAACCAGCATCAGCTGTACAGAATAAAAATCTGTATTTCCATTACGTTATTTTTGTCATTTGTACAAGCAAAGCCAACTTAATCCTCACTATGCATGTAAATGCGTTCCTGAGCAGCTTGTTGAGTGCTGAATGAAGGCCTGAATGTTTTTGTGGTATGTATTTATAGGTCCTCTTGTGAAGGGTAGCAACCGTTACCAGGATGTGAGAGCAGACTTCAGCCATGACACATCAGGCATTCGACATTAAAAAGCCTAGTTTCTTCCCCATTATGGTTCAAGCACTCTATGTACTCGGGAACAAATTGTAATGATGACCGATGTAGTGAGGACAAAATAAAGAGCGGTGGAGGAAAAGGAAAATCAGCGGAGTAAAGTGCCGCGCCGTTAAAGAACGAGAAGCTAGGGAAGGGTTGAAAAATGAAAATTGAAAAGCTTTTTATTTCAGCGGGGCCTTTAGAAATCTGCACCTTTTGAATGGCAATGGCTCTCAAGGTTATCTGCTGTTGCCAGGGTGAAGAGTGTGAATAAAACACCTTAGCAACATGTTGAAGCCTGATTGATTTACTCTCCTCTACTCTGCTGGTGTACAAGAAAAACACCTGCATGCATACATGATCCTCGCCGTGGATCAGGAGCAAACACAGCGTCTGAAAACATGTGTTCACCAGCTGACATGGGAGATAAACTCCACATCTGCTCGCACAGTTTCCACCCTTGTATCTGCCAATCTCCCAGCAATATCCTATGAAACGGTGCATGAAATATCAGCGGGAAACAAGGCCTCCCACAGCAGATTCAGGTTTGCATGCTGGGTAGTTTGACTGTGGTGTTATGATATTAAAGGTCCCCTGTTATACTGTTTTTCATCAATATATTACAGGTCACAGATATATACAGAGCCTGTCTCTGATTGGCTGGAACACCAAACAGATCATTGCAGCATCCCATAATCCCCTCTGTTTCAAGGGGGGGGGGGGGGTTACCTTGGTTGCTGATTGGCTAATGGTTGCACAAGACAAAAACATCGTTATGACATCATAAAGTGGCCAAAATCTGATCAGCTAACTTTCAGACAGGTTTTTATAAAAATGGATCAGGACAAAAAGTGAGAGAATCTTTTTTCCTGAAACTTTCAGAGTCTCTTTACACAGAGGGGACACATGTTGATGAAGAAGAGACATGAAGAAGAGGGGACACATGTTGATGAAGAAGAGACATGAAGAAGAGGGGACACATGTTGATGTAGAAGAGACATGAAGAAGAGGGGACACATGTTGATGTAGAAGAGACATGAAGAAGAGGGGACACATGTTGATGTAGAAGAGACATGAAAAAGAGGGGACACATGTTGATGTAGAAGAGACATGAAGAAGAGGGGACACATGTTGATGTAGAAGAGACATGAAGAAGAGGGGACACATGTTGATGTAGAAGAGACATGAAAAAGAGGGGACACATGTTGATGTAGAAGAGACATGGAGAAGAGGGGACACATGTTGATGTAGAAGAGACATGAAGAAGAGGGGACACGTGTTGATGTAGAAGAGACATGAAGAAGAGGGGACACATGTTGATGTAGAAGAGACATGAAGAAGAGGGGACACATGTTGATGTAGAAGAGACATGAAGAAGAGGGGACACATGGTGATGTAGAAGAGACATGAAAAAGTGGACTTTGCATAATAGGAGACCTATAAAAATGTAAGATGACTGTGTTGTTTCCAAATAAAAAGGCTCTGAATTATGATTAAAATTAGATCTCAGGCAAACCTCCAAGCCCCGGACGGAGCCTGTTGTCGTAACCGTCGAGGAGCCCGTCAAGGATCCTCGTGAAAACTGTGCTGTTGTCATTGGCCGCCGCCTCCTTTTGAGCCTCTGAGGACGTGCCGAGACTAGGAGAGGGAACAAGGGAACAAGGGTGTTGAGATTCAAAGAATGAGGACAGGTGGAGAGGAAACAAGGGAACAAGGGTGTTGAGTATCAAAGACAGAGGACAGGCAGAGACTAGGAGAGGAAACAAGGGAACAAGGGTGTTGAGATTCAAAGAAAGATGACAAGCAGAGAGGAAACAAGGGAACAAGGGTGTTGAGATTCAAAGAAAGAGGAAAGGCAGAGACTAGGAGAGGAAACAAGGGAACAAGGGTGTTGAGATTCAAAGAAAGAGGAAAGGCAGAGACTAGGAGAGGAAACAAGGGAACAAGGGTGTTGAGATTCAAAGAAAGAGGACAGACAGAGACTAGGAGAGGAAACAAGGGATCAAGAGTAAAGAGGGGGAACAACATCCCAGTTAAACTGGACGTCAGACAGAACACGGTTATTGTGATTAATTAGCTCGCCACATTAAGGACAGGCTCGTTGTGATTAATTATTGAACATAAGTGCTGCTTACAACTACCAGTAGAGATAATTAAGGCTTTGACATGTGATCCAAATATAAACAAATGAGCTCCCCTGCTAAATATGGCAAGAAGCGAGGCGTTGTGTCCCAGGGAAGATCTCTTTTCTGTGCGGAGGATATTACTTTTATTATTACAAAGAACACTGTGTTCATGCCCAGGAATTACCACAGAGACAAGGTTACAGGATGATTTGAACGTGTGAACTCAAAGCCATTGATCTACTCCGATGAGAGGTGATGGCGATTCCACTGATTTACTGACAGCATCGCCCAAAGATCTCTTCTCGACAGCAGGACACTTAAGAAGCGATGTGGCAGAGTGCAGATTGGTTGTGAGATCAAGAGAGGAGGGGCAGCAAATGTGTTTGTATATGAAAAGACAAAAGAGGTGTTTAGACATAGCTAAAAAAAACACCACTTATCGTTGAAGATTATTGATCAAATAGCAACTTTAAGACATTTTGCTTTCGTAATAAAAGCATTAGTTTAGCATGGAAATCACACTCCACTTCTAAAGCATGACATCTGTAACAATGGGACTGTATCAGCTCTTTGTTTACCTATTTTGGCATCCACACAGGAGCAGGAGGGAAAAGACGAGCCTCGCCATGATTGAAATTCTCTTCACTTTGTTGTTAAGAGCTGTAACACAATTACAGAGAGAAAGAGACAAACAAAAATGGCATCAGGAATGCACCAAACACACAAAAATGGGGTTTCACTATCCTCTAAATATGACAAATCTAGCAAAAAAAATCCCAATAACTCACACAAAGAAACTCAGCTGCAGACAGAGCATTACAGGAATCACTAAATCAAGCGGTGGGACAACCTCTGCTCAATGAGGCTGCAACTCTTTACATGCAGAACACCTACCGTACCTCACAAATACACTAGACATCCTTAGATATCATGAAGACAATACATAAAAAAAGGGATTGTCTGCAGTGTGATCCCCATTGTGTAAATCTCCCACTGCGTTTGAATCCAGTGCATTACATTTCACACGGGCCACCCCCCCCCCAACCACCACCTCCACCATCACCTTTTTCCACTCTCTCCATCAACAAAATCTCATTTTCATTTGCCATGCTGTGTCTAATTATACAAAAAAAAACTGAAAAAACGGGGTAGCTGAATGCATATCCATCACCATCACCATCTTATGCTGCGAATGGAGGCTGGGGGTCTCCGTCTGAGAAACTGGGCGATCACGGGTTCAATCAGCTAATCCTCCGGTGTTTCTGCTGTCTCTCAGGCGGTGTTTTAGTGTCTGTCTCCCCGCTTTAGTGTCTGCTGCACCGCCGCTCCTGCATCGCCTCCAGAGGTGTTGCAGCAGCAGCATCACACGCGTTTATCCGCCAGCCTCGCAGGAGACTGGATTCTCTCCACATTTTTTTCCCGTCCCGATGCTATACCGCCTACTGCCGGTGCTGCAACACAGGCTAATCATTTTTTATAATAGGTGCTGCCCATTGGTGGGTTTTGAGGAGGAGGCGCACTGGCAGGGAAACTAAGGGGGGGGGGGGGGGGGGGGGGGGAAGTCAGATGTTAACAAAATCAGGTGCGGGATTTAAAACGCTATCGCTGAATTCAACATTTAAAGTGTCATATCAGTTTCCTCCTTATTGTCACCCTGTCAGATTAACATCACCTGCCATGCTTCAAATGTTCATCTGAACTGTTATCTGACACGATCAATTATAAAGATCTTACGTAACCTGATTCGCCCCAGGGGATCAATAATTAGGATTTCTGATAATGTGTTCACACAATTTGACAGATTTAATTTACATTTTCATGACTTTAAGACACGTTTTCCACCGTTTAATACCTGTATCTCAACCATTTATCTGATCTATGGTACTATATGTAAACCATGTCTATTACTTTCGCTATTTCAAACCCTGTTCTATTACTTTTAACGTTATCTGCTCACCTTTTCGGAGATACTCCACAAACTTTCTGCAGACTAACGTAACTAACCTGCTGACTGCATAAATCTGAGACACATGGTTAAAAAAAAACACTGCCAAAAACACAGAGATCTGATATTAAAAACAGTGCTGCTGGATGTTTTTACGGTGTCTGTGAAGGCTCAAGAAAACGTTAATTTTATGTGAGTTTTTATACATCTGAGTGAGTGAATAAAATACTGCAAAACCAACCAACAAACGGCATTTATTTGGCTTATGCAACTAGCCTAACTATTTTTTGCATGCTGATTTATTTATGTAAAATCATGAATATGCATAGGCCTATTGTATTTACTGTCAAAACATGCAATGCAATTAAAGCCCTCTTCAGAAAAGTCTGGAATCGTTATCATCCTGACGGTTGCCATAAGAGGGAAGCCGAGATCCACGTTTCGCAGCCGGTATAATTAGTGTATGATATTTAACATGCCGACACTTTACTTAATCCGTCTGGAGGTGCAGTCTGTGCGCGGGGAAGTAACAGCAGGAACATGAAATGGTGTCCCCTCTGGAGGCTGATTTCAACACCATGGACAGCTCCTGCAGAGTGATGACAGAGGGGGGCAAGTGTGTGAGGAAAGAGAGAGAGGTGTGTGTGTGTGTGTGTGTGTGTGTGTGTGTGTGTGTGTGTGTGTGTGTGTGTGTGTGTGTGTGTGTGTGTGTGTGTGTGTGTGTGTGTGTGTGTGTGTGTGTGTGTGTGTGTGTGTGTGTGTGTGTGTGTCTGGAGATTAGAGGGTGGGGGTGAGGGGCTCTCCCAGGAAATTCAGTGCCTTTCAATATTTTGCCCTGCAGGCATCCCTCTGTTTCAGACTCCTGCTTTACTACCTGAAACAGAGGGCTGCACATATTAGTTCACGCACATATTAGTTCACACACACACACACACACACACACACACACACACACACACACCCACACACACACACACACACACACACACACACACACACACACACACACACACACACACACACACACACACACACACACACACACACACACAATCCAACAAAAACACACCTTTAAGGCTCATGAAACTGCTCACATGTGAATTAAAAGCCATCCAAGCATATGGTGAAAATAGGAGACCCCAATATTTCCCAACAATAGATATGTTAATGGTTGTGATTTAAGTCATTTTCATTGGCTAAAAGCTATTTTAGCATTAATGATGTCATCGCCCTTTTCTTTCAGGAATGCTGTTGACGGAAACAAGAAGTTGTTCGCCATCTATGACACGAGGTAGGAATTGTCACAACACACACACACACACACACACACACACACACACACACACACACACACACACACACACACACACACACACACACACACACACACACACACACACACACACACACACACACACACACACACACACACACAATTATATATTAATGAGGTTCTCCAACTGTGTGCTTAATTATCCACGGAGTGTCTGGCAATTTCAATATCTCTCAGTCTGAATATAATCAATGCTAGAGCCCTACATTTTAGTCGAGGAAAAAAAGAGGGTTATTATAGGCGATAAACTGGAGGATCAATCACAAGCATCGATTAATAGGTTGATAAACACAGCCTGTCCCTCCTCGATATGGTTCGGGTCCCGCCATTTTTATAGGAAACTGGGGAAGGGGATTGGCGCAGATGGAGTGAAGAGCACTGTAAAAAATGTCCATCTTAACTTAAACCAAGAAAAATATATTTATGGGGTACAATTTAATTTGACATATATAGGGAACATGGGGAACACAACTTGAACTGTGAAATAGTTGCATATATTCTCTTTAACTTTAAAAAGGTTAAAGATAATTAAAAAAATAGTTTCAGGGAGAGTTGAATAATAATATGCAAATGAATTGCATTATGGGAATTGTAGGATCCACTGTTTTTGAACATTTCTGAATATTTTCATGAATTAAAGTTAGAATATTTTGTCTGAAGCTGCTTTGAAATATGTCTCTTGTGAATCCTACAACGTACTGTAAGTGTTACAAAGCCATAGTGACCCTTTAACCATCCACATCCAATCAAAACACAATACCTAAAATAGACAGAGGCAGATTATTGGCCAATTCATTAAAAAAATAAAGAGAATTTTCAGAGCACTTCATGCATTGGAAATTATTTTATACGCATTACAATAAAGGGAAACTGAGCTCTGGGATATCCCCCCCCCCAAATAAAAAAAAGAAAGACTTAAAATTAGCTACTGGTGGATGTTTTTTACAGTGTGTAAGTGTTGGGCTTCGTCTCACATTTGAACAAACCGAGTGCCTTCACCGCCACCAGCAGCAGCAGCAGCAGCAGCAGCACCCCGCGCGCACTCCTCATCAATATGCGCTTCAGATCCTGAATGTAGAGCCGCTTCTTCTTCTTCTGCACAGTCACACACGGCAAACCGGAGCCAGTGTTTGAAGTCGGGGATGTCTGCCCATATTTCACATCTGACTCCATCCACTGCCAGCTGCTGACTTTTACCCCTCTTCTCAGTCGACTTTCACCTCTCCGGGCAATCAATGGATTTACTCTGATTTTGAAAGAGCGTCCAGAACCGTCTCGACTGTTGCTGCTGTTGTTGTGGTTGTAAACAACGCAGAAAAGCACACACAAAAAATAGGGGTGATGTTTCCTTTGCACAGGGTGCGTCAATTTCGCGTCTTTTCCGCACTGGTTGTCGGTTCGATTGTGTGTTGCGCGAAAAGGTGAGTGCTTTTGTCATTCTGTGAGAAGTCAAGGTTATTGCACGGGTTGATTGACAGCCGGAGCCAAGGTGATGTCCCCCCTTCTTTCTTATGCTCTCATTCCAGCGTCAATGAACCGGGGAACATGTCTTTCGTGAAGGAGACGGTGGATAAACTACTGAAGGGTTATGATATCCGACTGAGGCCGGACTTTGGAGGTATGTGCCATGTTTACCTCCCCCTAATCCCCCCTGTGCTTTATGTTTGGCGCCATTCACAGTGTTGTGGTCAGGTGTAAAGGGCCTCTACATATTGTGCTTTTTAACCTCTTGCAGGCGCCCCAGTTGCAGTGGGGATGAGCATAGACGTGGCCAGCATAGACATGGTGTCAGAAGTCAACATGGTGAGTGCATTATCACTGTTTCTCTGTGTTTACTCAACCGCATAATGTATGCAGTCCTGCTGCCTCTGTACATTGGCACTCACAGTGCGGATGTAAATCCAGTTTTTTTTCTCTCCTCCCGAGCCATTATGTGATGGGCTGGGTTTCCTGTAAGCAGCAACACATCTTTATCTCACACGCTGCACACTGTGCTACCTTACATACACAGAGCCCGGGTGTAAAAAATGAACATAATGCAGCTCCTGACAATGCTTCTCCTCAGACAGTAGCTCACTTAGAGGAAAGATTAGAGCTGCAACAGTGGTTTGGCAATCAATACAGTCCACATACAGAGCAGGACACAGAGTGAGGGAAACATGCTCTGGTGATGTTGGACTCTCCACCCTTTAAGTGTTTTCCATTTTATCCCAGCCGCTTTTATCCAAACCGCTGCTTGTTAACCTCAGTGTTTCAGGAGCGTCCTCCCATAAGGCCGCTGGGCAGAGAGGGAGCTGTGATCCTGATTTGCTCATTTGTGAGTTTGATGCAATTCGGCCTGTGTTGACACACGTCTGCACTTGAAGAAAAGTCTCTTCAGGCTGATGTGTCTTAAAATATCCACAGATGAAGACCCACATTGCATTGGAAATAAGAGACACAGAGATTTTAAGCCCACATGAATGACCTGTCGAAGTTTGATTGATTTTGATGCAACCTCTAAACCCTAAACCTCTGCTCAGACATGTTTCATGTGCCTGGGTGCAATCATTATGACTTTTATTATGAACGGAGGAGTCAAACTCAGGTCAGACAGGGACTCAACCTCTGTCTGATTGTGAACATCATTTCACATAATGCTTTTACTTATTGACCAGATCTACTTAAGAGGAACAAGGCTTGCTTTTTACTGCACCATAATGTTAGAAAATGATCACTATTTATCTGTGGGAGGTGGAGTGTGTGTGTGTGTGTGTGTGTGTGTGTGTGTGTGTGTGTGTCCAAATTACAAATAAACAAACACATTTTACATTTTCAGCAAGTGTTGTGCGTCACCCTGGAAGTAGAAAAGTACCCACAAAGTATGTAACAAGGAAGTGCATTGATTCATTCACTCACTTTTGTTCTGTTGAACAAAAAGAACGCTGAAAGTTGCACAGGACGTGGAGAGAGTGTTAAACACGGTGTAAATTAACACTCTCCTTTCATTGTCTGAATAAAAAAAAGAAGAGGAGAAATGTGGAAGGAGAGTAGGGGTATTGGGGAGAAGGGGGAGGGGCTACAACCCTTGAGTCTGTCCATTGACATGTCTGAAGAGGTGTGGCTAAAGTTGCCGGTGTGTGTGTGTGTGTGTATGTGTATGTGTATGTGTATGTGTATGTGTGTGTGTGTGTGTGTGTGTGTGTGTGTGTGTGTGTGTGTGTGTGTGTGTGTGTGTGTGTGTGTGTGTGTGTGTGTGTGTGTGTGTGTGGATCAATAGTAATGGCTCAATAGCTTCTTCACCAGGTGACGCCTGGCTTTGACTGGCCAGCACTCAGAGTGGGAAACAAGAGCTCCCTGACCTTTGACACGCCCAAAGCAACTCCTAAAAATGACATTGACTGTATATACATCTCATTTATTCAGCCAAAATGTACATATAGTTAAAACCTAGTAATTTGTTAGCCCAAAAAGTACAAATGTTCAGCTACTCAACTGTAAGGATTCGCTGTTTTAATTGATTGAAGATGGAGTTTTTACCATTTGAATATATCATCTTGCCATGTTCACTGTGTTCTGACATTTACGATGCTGTAGTTGTTGCTATTATTGTTGTTATTATTTAATGAGTCATTCTTATGCTTCTGATCTTATGTGTTGTGACCATTTCATATAATTGATCAAAAGTCTGTTATAATTTAGGAGCTTTAAACACCTCAATTGACTAAAACAAAATAGCTAACAGTAGATGAATGAATAATCACATTTTCATGCACAAATAGCAGAAACACTTTTCAGGATCCAAGAGCTCAGTGGCTAACATCAGCTAGCAAGCCAATTATGCGAATGAAGGGCAGGAATCAGACAGCTGAGATCACACGTATATAGATAATTAATTGGGTCCGTTTCTCATTGCCACCATTGCACCGAGGGACTGCATCGGCGTGCATCGGTGCATCTGTGCTCGTTAGATGATGAACAGTTGGCTGCGATCCAGTGTTGAAGCCAAAACAAGACTGGTCAAGCTGCTTGTTGTTTTTCACACCAGTGTTTGACATTTGGTGGATGCTTTTCATCCAACGCCGGGACCGTCTGTGGCTGTGGAGCTGGGGATCGCTCCAGTGGGACAGGGATAACGAGTGCTTTTGTCCTGGTTTATCCAACACAAAACAGCAACGCCTGGATACATTCTGCTCTATTTCGTTCTTTTGTCAGGCTCTGTCTTGCATTCATTTCAAGAAAACTCCAGCTACTAAATCCACTCCAGAATGACCCGCATGCATTAATGGGGAAACTAGTTGTCAAAAGTTGACTTGCACTGCTGTGCTCCTGTGTGTTCTACAAGGAGCACAGATTTGCAAAACAATACTGGCAAACATTTGTAGGCGTGATCTCAGATACAAAGAGAAAATACTGCAACACAAGCGAGTAGAGAGCCTAAGGTTTTTGCTGTTTGTGAGTTACGGTTCTGCAGCTTTAGCGTGGGTATGTGAGATCCCAAATCTTCTCACTAAATTGTTTAGAAAAGGGAGGTAGTGAGATATAATGTTTAGGAAATGGATCATGAAGTTGCGGATCAATCAGTGCAAAGGGCTTATCATCGATATCAGTGATTAAGGTTGAGGGGTGAAAAATGATCCTGGGTCAATATAATCCTCTCACCGGTATTAAACGCTGATATATGTGTGCATTCAGGCATGTGAATGTGCAAATGTATACTAGAGAGAAGAGGGATTGATCCTTGCAATATAGATGTATAGATATGCTCAGATGCTTAGCCCATGCAGGTCAAAATACTATATTAGGGACTGTAGTCTAGGGTAGAAAGTCGAAAATGTCGTGAAACTGCTCATATATTTTGTAGTCCATCCATTCTTTGTCCTTGTCAAAACCGGACGCCTACATTACCCACAATGCAACTCAGCAGTAAACAGTTTTGGTAGGATATTTAGTTATGCTAGTAGCTACATATGTAACCTATAGCTGTTAGCCTCAAGCAGAAGTAAGCAGTGGGAAACTTACTTTTTCAAACTTAGTATTCAATCACTAAAACGTATTTTCTCATATGCAGTAGTACATCTAAACACATGTACACATTATTTGATGTACAAAATCACCCTTTAACACAACAACTCACTACTATAGTTTAAGATGTAAGGGGGAATGTGAAAGAAAATATTGATTATTCTGGAGAGGAACTTGTTTTTTAGAAGCTGAAATATAAAACACCCACTCAAATAATTGTTTTACAGTCCCTTTATCTTGATATTGAGCACTTTGCTCACACTGTGTACTCCCCTGGTCCCAATACTGTACATACCTCCACTCTGGTTTTATTTGATGTGCAGTGGGAGTTCATGCTCATCAACCGTGGCAGAATCGAAGATGGTCTTTGTGCTGCCTTGGGAATTTTACTGGAGACAACACTCGGGCAATCAATGCAACAACAGACCTGAACAAAAAAGAAAGAAATGGGAGCAGAGAAGATACGATGTTAAGATTTATTGAAGGACTGAAAAGAGTAGAGAAAAGCGAGGGCTTGAAGATGTGAGAAATCCAGGGAAAGGTAGAGAGAGGAGGGGGGAGCTGACAGAAAAAAAAGATAGCAAGAAGACGACTGAATATTACATCTGGCATGTCAAAAATCCACCTGGCAGGGCAGGTCGGCTAACTCTGAGCTGGGAGCTCCTGCACAGGCAGATGCTAACGTGTGAGAAAGACGCACTAATTACCTCTGAGGTTTGTCCGTGGTGTGCCGGGGGCCTCGGCAGATGAGAAACACATACGAGGACAAGATCAGAGCAAGGCAAAACAGATTATGTGTGTGCTGAGGCAGTGCTTACTTAGAAACTAGTGGTACACTTATTGAGAGAGAGGCAGAGACAGGGGTTTGGGACTAAGGTTCGGAGATGATTATTTGAACTGCAGCAGAGCCAGCATTTAACAATGTTTTGAAACACTCCAATTAAGAATATTTAAAAATCAGGGCACCATGTGTAGGTGTGCTTTCATTATCAAAGACCTGGTGCAGAAATGGCGGTCTTTATCCCAGCCCATTAGCCGTGCCTCGTGAAAGTCATCATCATTTTGAGAAATGAAATCACAGGGAAATGGTCAGAGTCTGAAACCGTGTGTGTGTGTGTGTGTGTGTAGTTGCAGTTAACAGGCTGAACAAGCTAGTCATCCATACACCCACGACTGCGTGTGGGTGTCAAAAAGAAGAAAAAAAAATCTGTCATTATGGAGAGGTGAAAAGATCTCTCTCCATCTCTGCTTCTCCAAATGTTCCTGCTGCCTGCTTTGTGTTAAGGAGTGCACAACATTTCCATAAAGTAGCTTCATCTATCACTCCATGTGTGATTCCTGCAGAAGTGTTAAAGGTGACACCGCCTGGTCTGACAGGTATTTTGGCGTTGAATAAATATTGGCATCAGATGTTGCCTATGCACAAACTGTGTCACCCTAATTATGGTATATAGGGCTTCGAGCTATACGAAAAAAGAGCATATCTTCCCTTGGAGCTGTGAGTATGGCTTAATATACCCTCATGTCTTTTATCCGGCATCCGGCTTCCTGCCTGATGGAATGTAATTGGCCTCAGGAGAGAGCAACGCTGTGGGGTGAAGTGATGCTCGCTGAGATTTGGAGTAAGCAGAGCGGCCACTTCCTGGTTGAAGTGCCAAGTAGCCAAAGGACGCGTACACTGAAGCTGCTTCGCTAACCCCACAGTCCCACTTTCATAATTCTCTCTCGCTCTGAGCTGCGTATATACCTTTAAGACTGTCTGAAGCTGGGGAATCAAAGAAATTGACAGGCGGCAGCGG